ATCTGTACACGTAGATCTACCCATTAAACCTACAGTGTAATGTCTATCTGTACACGTAGACCTACCCATTATCCATACAGTGTAATGTCTATCTGTACACGTAGACCTACCCATTATCCATACAGTGTAATGTCTATCTGTACACGTAGCACTACTTACTCCATACGGAGTAGCTATCTGTACACATAGATCTACCCATTAACCCTACAGTGTAATTTCTATCTGTACACATAGATCTACCCATTTTCCCTACAGTGTAATGTCTATCTGTACTCGTAGATCTACCCATTATACCTACAGTGTAATGTCGATCTGTACACGTAGATCTACCCATTATCCCTACAGTATAATGTCTCTCTGTACACATAGATCTACCCATTATCACTCCATCGTAATATCTATCTGTACACATAGATCTATCCATTATCCCTACAGTGTAATATCTATCTGTACACATAAATCTTCCCATTATCCCTACAGTGTAATATCTACCTGTACACATAGATCTACCCATTATCCCTACATTGTAATGTCTATCTGTACACATAGATCTACCCATTATCCTTACAGTGTAATATCTATCTGTACACATAAATCTACCCATTATCCCTACAGTGTAATATCTATCTGTACACGTAGATCTACCCATTATCCCTACAGTGTAATGTCTCTCTGTACATATAGATCTACCCATTATCCCTACAGTGTAATGTCTCTCTGGACACATAGATCTACCCATTATCCCTACAGTGTAATGACTATTTGTACACGTAGAACTACCCATTATCCCTACAGTGTAATAGCTATTTGTACACATAGATCTACCCATTATCCCTACAGTCTAATGTCTCTCTGTACACATAGATCTACCCATTATCCCTACATTGTAATATCTATCTGTACACATAGATCTCCCCATTATCCCTACAGTGTAATGTCTATCTGTACACATATATCTACCCATTATCCCTACAGTGTAATGTTTATCTGTACAGATAGATCTACCCATTATCCCTACAGTGTAATTTCTATCTGTATACGTAGATCTACCCATTATCCCTACAGTGTAATGTCTCTCTGTACCCATAGATCTACCCATTATCCCTACAGTGTAATGTCTCTCTGTACATATAGATCTACCCATTATCCCTACAGTGTAATGTCTCTCTGGACACATAGATCTACCCATTATCCCTACAGTGTAATATCTATCTGTACACATAGATCTACCCATTATCACTACATTTTAATGTCTATCTGTACACATAGATCTACCCATTATCCTTACAGTGTAATATCTATCTGTACACACAAATCTACCCATTATCCCTACAGTGTAATATCTACCTGTACACATAGATCTACCCATTATCCCTACAGTGTAATGTCTCTCTGTACACATAGATCTACCCATTATCCCTACAGTGTAATGTTTATCTGTACACATAGATCTACCCATTATCCCTACAGTGTAATTTCTATCTGTACACATAGATCTACCCATTATCCCTACAGTATAATGTTTATCTGTACACATAGATCTACCCATTATCCCTACAGGATCTACCCATTATCCCTACAGTGTAATGTCTCTCTGTACACATAGATCTACACATTATCCCTACAGTGTAATGTTTATCTGTACAGATAGATCTACCCATTATCCCTACAGTGTAATGTCTATCTGTATACGTAGATCTACCCATTATCCCTACAGTGTAATTTCTATTGGTACACTTAGATCTACCCATTATCCCTACCATGTAATTTCTATCGGTACACTTAGATCTACCCATTATCCCTACAGTGTAATTTCTATCTGTACACATAGATCTAACCTTTATATCTACAGTGTAATGTTTATCTGTACACATAGATCTACCCATTATCCCTACCGTGTAATTTATATCTGTACACATAGATCTATATCCCTTAGCCCTACAGAGTATCTTGTATGCCACCATTTCTTTCTGAAAATTAATCAATAAAAAGTATCTTAAAAATTATAAGCTTAAGTTCAGATTATGAATATCACATAATTTAGCCATAACTTAACATTTAAAGCAGGGCTTTAGAATACCTAAATAAAACCTGAATGATAAAGATTTTTTTGATTTTTTTTTAAATCATGGGTGACATAACCGGAGAGGGATTGGCTTCAGGGTAAAGAGAGATCTGACTATCTCACAATCTTTGGCTGACATTCCAGTCAAAACATTCAAAGTTCTGTCGGGGTCACAAGAGATGTAATCCGACATCCTCACAATGTTACCTTTTTTGCCTGAAGAGCTGCCCTCCAAAAGAGGCCTCTACATTGAGAGGTAAGGTAAGGGTACAATGTTTACGATTTCCCCTCGTGTATTGGTTCCTGAGACACAATAAGGCAAACCTACTGCGAACAGATCTTATAGAAATGGGGTGCCGTTTTGGAAATAAACATCTCTGACAGTTTGACCCTGTTGATCTTTGGTTTCGTATTCTGTTTCTCACAACCATTAAATGTCGCATCAAAATGTCAATAGCTATCTCAAAAGATCTAAATCTTTCAATTTATGTTTACCAATTTCAATAGGGATTTTTGTCCCAATACAGACGCATGAAATTACGTCATTCAACAAATTGTATGATAACTTCAGTGTAAAGGGTTTCAGATATGACTGGGAGCTGTGATATATTCCTTAAAAGGTTGAATACCGTCTTTTACATACTTGCCAATATTGAATTAAACTTAGGATTTATACCTATGTCCAAACACCTATTTCTGAAGGCTTGCTATATATACATATGTTGAGACAGTGAAAACAAATCTATCATTCAAATATAGTCTTTGAGAAAAAGCTTTAATTTGAAATTTGGAATGACAAGGCATTTTGTGATTGGGAGTTGCACAGACAACATAAGTCACCGAATCTACTATAGTGGATCACTCAAGAGAGACTAAAGTTCTATAGGGAGTAAATAGTTCTGGGAATGGCCAGTGAGAGGCTTGCCCAATATCTGAGTACAGACCACACCTGTCCAAATCAGAGATATATCTACTCAGGTGAAAATCCCCTTAAATTACAGGTATGACCTCAACCTTGCGTTTGAGTGGATCTTTCAAAGCAGTACTGAGGGATAGTACTCAATCTCTGTCTGTTCTATGAATGTTTCCGTTAATTATTGACTTGAGTCAATCTTTCAATGTATATCGCCTACATATCAGTGATTTTGGATTTCCATTCTGTCTAGGTATTTACACCAACATTACACATTAAACATATCAGTGATTTTCTGTAACTAATACATCAAGTTTGTGAGCAGCTAACATTTAAAATAATTACCACCTTTAAAATCCCATTAATTTCTGTGCCTGTTTGATGGATCTGTCGACACTCTACACCCCCACAACATCACCGTGAAAGACCGATAGGACAAACGTTACATCTATCTTTTGTAACATATTATATCAATGAAATAAATGTTTCTGAAAATTATTTCAATTTAAAACTTAAAAATTATCAGGGGTATGATCTTCTGTAAGCTTTTTTAACTATGACATTATCAAATATGATAATATAGCTATAGAACTCTTGTTCATGTTATAAATAACACACACCATTTCTGTCATATACTAATGCTATATCTTTCTGATTCTTGGTTATTATTTCTGATACAAAATAACCTGTTAAACATAAGAAAGAGAAATTCAACCCCAAGTATTGGGGGGGGGGGGTTAAAAACCTTGATATGTAAGGTAAAAGGGGATTGGTTGATTTTAAACAGTCCCTGGGATTATTTCAGTAAGCTGGGTTATTTATTTATAGTAACACATTATCCCCCCTACAATTGTCCCAGGCTGATACAATCTTCACCATAAACTAACAGTTATATAAGGTTTATAATACCTTCTATAAAAATACCACCATACCCAAAACATTACATAGAATTAACATTTTATATAAATAAGATCTAACTAAGTTGTTATCTGTAGTTCTTCAGACTATAAATGCAAATAAACAAAACACCTTGTCTATAACCTTCATGTTATTCTGTTGAATAATACACCAGGAATTTTTTCTCAAAAGTAATTCTCCTCAAATTAAAAAAGTAAAAGATTCAAATTTACAGCAAATTTACATAGACATTTAAACAGCTATATATAATCTTAATGAAACTACTTGACAAGTTAATGGGCAAAATACATCAAATGTTCCATAATGCAGCTGTACAATAAAACCGGTGTCCCCTCCCCTGTCAAAGTCGGTTTAAATACACCAATATCATTCTATAGGTAGCTCTAATGTATCGTTTTGTCAGAATTAACCATATTGCTATTTTTAGGTCAGATTGATTGATTGGTGCATAATTGACAGATTATCAATGATAAATCAACACTTCTACACAGTTGTAACTAATTCAACATTTAATCTGCAATGTCTCCATAGTAAGTTCAATTTAATCTGATTTGAACATTTTCAGCCCAGTTTATTCATTCACGTGTGACTGCAAACTTGACGTAAACAATGATTAATGAATGTTAATAATAAAGTCTTACATGCATAGCATTAAAAAATAAGCTATACAAATATAAAAAAAAAGTCACATCAATTGAAATAGATGTTAACTTAATGACACACACGAAAATTAAAATGAATATTTAAAAATAAAGTAATATACATGTAGGTTATATTTGATATCACCTGCTAAGTCAATTAAACCGAGCTTTGAGGGGGTCACATACTGATATGATATATAAAACGTTATAACAGAACTTCAGGTTCTTGCTTTTCTTTTTGTTAAGAGCTTCCGACTGCTACCCAAATTCCTGTGGATGTCAGTGGACATAGATTGTATCTACACAGATTATAAAGATGTGTGTTCCATACTCCCTCTTTATAGTAACATTTGAACCTGTTGATTTCCCGAGACTTACTATATGATACAAACATTCATGTAACTTGAATCCTCATTCTGCCAGAACTGCTACCTCCCGTGTGAAAATGAAATGTCCGACTTACCACGTTCTCTTTGTCGGAGATGTCGGAGAGCCAGACGGATCTTCCTTTTTTCATCGTAGTCAGTTTCCTCTGTCAACTGTGGTTAAAAAAAAAGACTTTAAAATAATTTATCTAGTGGATAAACATTCAATTTTCATCAAAAGAAAACATAGTTTCACATTATATAATATATGGAAAATATACAAGTTTTAAAAAAATCTTTTCAGGTTTCTATAATCAAACAGCCTTATACACAGCAACTTCATCAAATAAAATTTATTTCAACAGGATGACATCACAATAAAAGGTTCATGTAAATATTTTCCTTGTTTTTAAAATGATTTGAGTCTAGCAGTGGATCAAAGCCGAGTGATACTGGACCAATCCTAAGTCTAAGAGGTGTTCCCGTCACCTGGGACCATTTACAACATCTCTTTGTTTCACTAAGACAAAAGATTCTTCAACTTGTATATGTATCAGTGTTCTTCCATCCATTACTACTTGCTATAAAAAACATCTTTTCAAGTACACATGGCATCAGACTGTACGGTTACCGACTGTATGTGTGCTATCTCTTTATCTCTCACTGTCTATTGATCACCATCTATCTGTCTTAATCTTCAATGCATATTGAAAAAAAGCATGATTTATTCACAATGTATTGCAACATCTCATAAATCCACCAAAAGAACCTAAACATGTCTAAAACCCTGTCATTCCATCCTCTGTCAGAGGTGATCGTAACTGTAGACCAACACCGATGCTTGAATATTACAGCAATAATAACATAAACAATTGTTTAACAAATCATTTCAACAGCTAAATCTATTTTAACAGCTAAAACACAAACCTTCATACACAATTGTTGAATAAATAATATCAACAGCTAAAACACAAACCTTCATACACAATTGTTGAATAAATCATATCAACAGCTAAAGCAATTTTAACAGTTATTATAACAAACCTTCCCTGTGCTATTGTTTTTGTAACTGAAGACCGACACCAATGTTTTAAAGATCGAACAACATATTACAGCAACGATAACATACACAATTGTTGAACAAATAATTTCTATAGATAAAACAATTTTAACAGTTAAAACACAAACCTTCTCTGTGTTATTTTTTTGTCTGTTTTGTGAAGTCTTAGTTCCCGCATCAGGAGAACCAAAATTTAAACGTTGCGTCATGTAGCGGACAAACATTTTCTCTCCTTTCACCGGAGCTAAGTATTCTAGACCACATCAACACACTGGGATAGAATATTCTGTGTCGGATTTATTCCAGTTCTACTAAATCCTATGATGTAAACATTTAAACACCTCTGTGCCTGATAGATAAATGTAATCCAAGGTTTTGTGTGAAAGAGATTATGATGCAGCAAATTGTTCAAACACGGCACAGCTCGATATATCGTTACAGACTTTGTGCGAGATGCAAACTTTGTAAACATCGTCCAATCAATATCAAGGCGATGCACGTCAATCAGTTCTGTGTTGTCGTCCGCATGCTTTGAAATCTATGCTGGGACAGCATTTTTCTGTCAATAACCAGCCTCTCCTTGACTTGCGGCTACGTGACAGCTTGTCGGGACAGAAATTGAACATCCTGATCACATCTCCGATCAGACTTACACCGATAGCAACACTTAAGCTGGTATTGTCCAGGCTCACATTTAGATCATTCCAACTCACAAGTTGACATCAATCTGAGACTCTCCTTCATTTATATATCTAAAAAGTTTAAATCATATTCTATATGTCATTTAAATCCTTCACACTCGTGACTTGTGATCTAATATTTTCATTGAACTTCTATTTCAAAAAAATAAATCATGATATTGTGTCGAGAAGAGTCTAGCGTGTCCTGTGATGTGACGTTTCACAGCTGATTAAAACTTGGGACCTGATAGAACCTTTCTATTAACGGCTAGAGACGTTAACCTGTCTGTGTTAAAGTGAAAGGCAGTGAAGTTAATGTCAAGATGAAAGCCACCAATATCTAGTGTAGCAATGATAAGCTGTGTCCGTTACATATTGATGTGGACGGACTGTCATTTACAGATACCAACTAGATCTTCATAGAACACACACAGACTTTCTATAGCGGGGAAAACACCGGACACTGTACCGTCTCTGAAACAGAATTAGACCACACATCGCCCTTGAAAATGACTGGCCACTTTTACGTCCAGGAAGATTTTCCCCTCTGTCACACATCCAATGCACTAAGGCCCGTCATACTATGTACTTCGACACATTGATCTCCACAGAATGAATTTCTATCTATCATATATCTTTAGGTAGTATATTAGCTTTTTCACACCTGTATACACAGACCAAAATTATTACAACAGTGGTTATTATCCAATATGACACAATCTCGCACTACACACAAACAAATCCTCGAACAAGATCCCTGTAAACCAAGTTGGAACACTTATATGTAACCAAAATATGTAGAAATATCTATATAGGTATCTTGGGTGTACACAAACCCACAGGAGACTTTAAACCCGACAGTCATACCCCTTTCATTATACACAAAGATTATGTGATCTTGGTAAAACATCCAAATCAAACACAAGTCTATACATCTATTCGAAGTCAGCTAATTGCGCCAATTTTCTATTTGCCTACTTGTTTGATTTTATTGAATTGTAAGGAAGCCGAGCATTTTGGCGTTATTGAGTGTATGGGATTTATTCCCCTCTCTCCGGGTGATGGTAGGGCAAGGTGTTACCTGGTCACAGGTGTAAATACAGGAGTGTACAGGTGTAAAACACTGTTACCTGTGGCTGTACGGTAAATAAAGGTATACACACTGATTATGTACAAACAGTCTGTCCAGGGTATCAATAATATTACAAGGTGATTTTATCGATGAGCTCACTTGCTGGGTATGTCGTTAATCAGGAGTAAACATGTAACTTCTGAGTTAGGGTTCTGCTCCCACACAAGTTGTTGTGTAGCTAGTTCTTTAAACCAAACAGAAATCAATGTTGCATCTCAATCAGTGTCCCAGTCCCTCACCTTGATATAAAAGCAATATCGTAGTTTTTGTCTAATTTGCATATTTTATTTCATTGACAAAAATAAATTTATATGCAATTTATAAAAGAACCCTGGAGTCACAAATGATGTGTTGCAAAATGTGGCATTGAAATCAGCTCAAAGGACTAAACTTATTGGAGTAAATGTATCAGCCAACCAGAAGCAAGGGTGGCCATCTTGAATCCTGAAACTGAAAATTGGTCATTTGGTTTGTAGTTCATCCACATGTATCACTCCTACAAAGTATTAACGAAGTTGGACCATCTTTGAGAAAAAATCCATTGAAAACCTCTGGCTGAACAATGGTAAGACTATGAAGTAAAAAACAAATGCAGTAAAAACAGTATGTCCCCAGATTTTATTTGGGAGACATAGAAAAACTGATTAGCGGAAACATGATATCATAATTCCTTATCTATTGATTAATCTATACATGTATCTGAGATCCAATATACCTGTGGAAAGCTGGAAAGCATCAGATTTTAAAACCACAGATACTCTACAAGCAGACGTTGTGAGCATATACAAAAAAAAAAAGTATGTNCCCCCTCCTCCCATCCTCCCTCCCCAGTCCCAACACCAACTCCTACCCCCCACATCTCACAAGTACCCTCCTACCTACGTCCCTGTCTGTTGTTATATAGAGGTGGTAAACATTGATTTGGTGAGGGATCGTGGTGGGTCATATTACATTTCACAATCCAGGTGAGGGCCATTGATTAATATCTACCTGAATATCACAAAGGCCAAAGCATTGACAGATTTATGCTGTTCAATGTCTAACTGAATATCAAACAAGTCAAAGTATTGACAGATTTATGCTGTTCAATGTCTAACTGAATATCAAACAAGTCAAAGTATTGACAGATTTATGCTGTTCAATGTCTAACTGAATATCAAACAAGTCAAAGCATTGACAGATTTATGCTGTTCAATGTCTAACTGAATAACAAACAAATCAAAGTATTCACAGCTTTATGCTGTTCAATGTCTTACTGAATATCAAACAAGTCAAAGCATTAACAGCTTTACAATGTTTAATATCTGTTTTAATATCACAGAAGTCAAAGCATTGACAGCTTTACAATGTTTAATATCTGCTTTAATATCACAGAAGTCAAAGCATTGACAGCTTTATATTGTTCACCATTATTTGTTCACCTGTAATGTAGTAATACAGTCAATGTAAAGTTGGTGTTGTAGCAGAATGGGCTATTGTAAGCATGCTCTATTGTGTATTTGTGTATGACCATACAATACTATACAGGTCCAGCACAAATCTGTTATCTCCTGTTATCCGTAGGAATGCTGTCATCATTCTCCACATAATTCATAATCCTGGCACTTCAATAGGAATTGTTTGAATAACAGTAACAAATAACTGTAATTGATAAAAGGTTCAGCCTTTCTGGTTGGTCTAGACACTTTGGTATAACAGATAACAAATAACTGTAATTGATAAAAGGTTCAGCCTTTCTGGTCGGTCTAGACACTTTGGTTTCCAACAAAAATATAACAGATAACAAATAACTGAATAAAAGGAATGTAACTGTCCCACTCTATCACCAGTAATGTCCCCCCAGCCCACTCTATTACCAGTAATGTAACTGTCCCACTCTATCACCAGGAATGTAACTGTCCCACTCTATCACCAGTAATGTCCCCCCAGCCCACTCTATTACCAGTAATGTAACTGTCCCACTCTATCACCAGGAATGTAACTGTCCCACTCTATCACCAGTAATGTCCCCCCAGCCCACTCTATTACCAGTAATGTAACTGTCCCACTCTATCACCAGGAATGTAACTGTCCCACTCTATCACCAGTAATGTCCCCCCAGCCCACTCTAT